CGGCTCCCCACTTATGTAAATGAAGCCTGGGAAATTCAAATCCCGGGCTTCATTTGCAAGTGCGGTATGCCTACATTACCTTCCTAGTTCGAACTCGTAGGGTAGTGTAGACATACCCTGAGGGAAGTGAGGTGTGGGAGAATAAAACTGAGCTCTGGAGAAATGTTTGGCTAGAGTTTCCCCTACAATATGTACCAGTTCCGACTTACATACAAATTCAACTTAAGAACAAACCTACAGTCCCTATCTTGTACGTAACCCGGGGTCTGCCTGTACATCTAATTTACATCCCTCTGGAGACAGAAGGGTGTAGTTTAGACATAGCCTAACAGATTTATTAGGGTATAAACTTTTGTGGATTAAACCCACTTTGCCAGTTTATGCCCTAATAAATCTGTTAAGATACGTCTACACAGCAGCATTATTTCGAGATAACTAGCATTATTTCAAAATAATTACATGAACGTCTACATAGCAAGCCCATTATTTCAAAATAATTATGAAATAACGGGCTTCTCATTTCAAAATCTTTAACCCACTTTTAATGAGAAATAATGCCTATTCCGAAACAGCGATTCCTGAATAGGGTGTGTGTAGACAAGGGCAGCTGGAGTTATTTTGAAATAATGGCCCACAGGTGCTATACTAGCATCTCTGTTTACACTCAGCAAACCACTATAGTACTCCTTCCCCTGCAGGCTTTACAGGCACAGTCTCAGGGGAAAGGTCTTGTGGCACAAGGCAGAACCTGATGGCTTGAGCCAGGTTGCAGCAGTCTGCACAGCTTTCCCTGTGGCCAAGAGCCATCCCTGTGCTCAGTCTGAACCCTCCACAGCTGCAACCAAGCAGACAGCCAGCTCCCAGGTCCCTGCTAGGGGACGAAAGAAGCGCACGCCTTCCTGGTCTGATGAGGAGATCCTGTACTTCACTTAGGTCTGGGGTGTGGAGGCAAATATCTAGAATCTCAGGGAAGAGTGTCACCTTGTGAGAAACTCTCCCTCGGGGACTCACGGATTTGCACAGCCCCCTGATGGACTTGCTGGATAGCAGCCGTGTGCGGCTGCTCAAAGGCCCTGCCCAGCCAGAACATCTCCCCCGTTCCTTTCACAAAAATTGTAGAGGACACAGTACGCCACCACCACCACCTGGGCAACGTTCTAGTCACCAAGGTCCAGCTGGGTGAGGAGGCAATGGAACCTCTCTTGAGGCACCCAAAGATGCCATTCACCATAGCACAGTCCCCTCGGAGCCTGGCTTTCAAACATTCTTTTGTGGGGGTCAAGGTGTCCATGGTACGGCTTTAAGAGCCAGGGGAGCAGAGGATATGCTGCATCCCCTACAACAAAGACCGACATGACCATGTCCCTGACCCTGATGTTGTGGTGTGGTTGCTGGTGTGCAACTTCTGAAACAGGCTGGAGTTTCAGAAGACCCTTGTGTCATGTACCTTCCCCGACCACTCGATGTAGATTTCAGTGAACTGGTCGTGGTGACAAAGGAGGGCCTGCAGGACCATCAAAAAGCACCCTTTCTGGTTGATATACTCAGATGCCCGGTGGTCAGAGGCCTGGATCGGGATGTGGATGCCATCAATAGCGACCCCACAGCTGGGGAAGTCCATTGTGGCAAAGCCAGTGGTGATGGGGTCCACATTTCCCAGGCTGATGACTCTGTGCAGTAGGACAGCATTGATGGCCCTTACCACCTGTAGAAGGAGATAAACAAACAAAGAATCAGAGGGGTGGCAGGGGGTCCCTGAGCCCACCCTTCTCCCCCACACACCAGGAGCAACCCCGACTTGCCCCATCTCCAGTCAGGGCATTCTGAAGGAAGGACTGAAAAACCTTCCGGGAAGGGGGCTTCCACCACCACCACCCCCTTGCCTAGGAAACCCCACTCCAGCTGTTCAGTTCACCACTCTCCTGGGACAATAGAACAAGAGCACCATACCTGCATGACCAGGGCCCCAACTGTTGATCTCCCCATGCTGAACTGGTTCCCAATGGAGCAGTAGCTGTCTGGTGTGGTGAGCTTTCAGATGGCAATGGCGACCCACTTTTGGAAGGGGATGGCAGGTCTCATCTGGGTGTCCTGTCTCCTGAGGGCAGGGGCAAGACACTCACACAGCTCCAGAAAAGTGTTCTTCTGCATGCGGAAATTCTGGAGCCACTGCTGGCTGTCCCACTGCTCCAGGACAATCTGGTCCCACCAGTTGGTACTGGTGTCCAGCTGCCAGAAGCAGTGATGCACAATGTACAGGGTGGGGGGTAGTGGGGTCAAACTGTACAAGCAGTGCCCTGAGAGCTGAGAGGAATTGCCCCACAATGAGCTGGAGGTCTTATTCCTGCAGGGCCTGGAAAGCAGTTCATAGAAAGTACACTAAGAGGTGCACTAAGTCACAGTGTTTTTCAACCTGTGGTATGAGTATCCCTGAGGCACGCAAGAGAAGTCTGGGAGGTACATCAAGAAAACTGAAATTTGGAGAAAACTGAATTTTTGCTTTAAGTTTTACAGCGCTTTATTATTTTTGTACTTTTTACACCCAAAAATTTCATCGCCTGCCCAGCTACGATTAAATTGTTTAAACAAATGTGTTGCAATGGTAGAAAAAATTCTGTGTGACTGAAAACTGTAGGTACTGGGGGTATTCACAATTTTTTAAAAATAAATGAGGTGTGTGTGTGTGTGTGTGTGTGTATATAAAAGGGGTACTTTATAAAAAAAAAAACCCACTGCACTGAGAAACACTGCGCTAAGACATGTAAGAGCTGTCAACTGCTGGGAGGCAGGTCCGCCTCTATAGCAAGAGTGCTTAAGTGTTCACAGCAGGCTGAGAAAAGGCTTTGCTGTCCCTCAAGGAGGCAGGCAAAGGAGGAGATCCTGAGACACGACAGAGGAGACATGTACAGAGGAGTCCATTTAAGATCGAGCCTCAGCAAGCCTCAGGCAGCAGCTCCAGGAAGAGAGTGCTGTCCTGATGCCCTGCCTGAAGTGCTTCTAGGAGGCCTTAAATGTGATTCAGCGTCCAATGAGTGTGGACGTGCTATTTCAAAATAGTTCAGTGTTATTTTGATGGGCATTTGCTGTGCAGATGCTCTACATTGAAATAAGCTAGTTCGAAACATAAATTTCAAAACAGCTTATTCAGGAATAAGCATGCAGTGTAGATGTGCCCTTAGTCTCTAAAATGCCACAGGACTCCTCATTGTTTTTGCAGATACAGACTAACACAGATACCTAACTGCAAAAAAGACACTACAAAAAAGGGATTTCATTATGAGCTAAATAGTGAGTGTTTTCGCTAATGAGAATTGCATTTTGCTTTATTTTCTTTCAACTAGTAATGCTGCGAAACACTTTAATCAACCATCTTACTACATCAGAGAGCTAAGGATTATTGAAACACTACAAATGCACAGATGGAAAAGCAGTTTTGTATAAAGATTTCAGTTTTGTATAAAAGTTTACAATGTATGAACAATGTTTTCAAATTAACTTATAATGGTCTTACTGAATACACAGATAACATCCCTAGAACATGATCACAGTTGGATTAAACTATAGATAGTATAGCATTAACTTTGAGGTCAGTGTTATAGCATTTCTATCACCTTACTAGTTTATGTTTTTTTGTATAAATACTCCAGGATCCCTAAATGAAAAAATAATAAAGACTGTGATGAACTCCCAATTCTTAAAAACAATCACAAATCCATAAAGTCTATTTTATGTTGCTTTGACATCAATGTGCTCTCTTACAAAATAAAGTACTACTCCATGTCAGCAGAGGTATAAGAACCTGACCTTCCACAATTACACCAGAAAACACTCAGACTTCACAGGGAATTTTCCTCAATATATACTTCAAGATTTAGCGATAGTGCCTATCTACATTTATAATAGCTTTATAATAACTTTGCTAGTTAAGCTAATTTCAGACTCACCCTTGATTCTCCTTCTCCTCGCCATTCGAGTCGGTTTGGAAAGAGGTAAAAGTAACGACGTTGCCACTGAGTCAAGAATGGATTCCCGAGTTTCAACATGTACCCATGCATAATGCAGTCCTTCCCTAGTGCATAATCTGTGAAAATAACAACTTCATTATGCACAACCAGCTACAACCCAGGGTATTCAGAAAATGCACTATGTTCAGAAAAGGTTTACTAGTGTTTTCACAGCCTATTACATTTCAGCAGATGATTCAGTACACATAAAATTTTCTATAGCATGTTACCTTTTGACTTCTAATGATTATATACATATACATACACACTGGGCCAGACTCTGCACCCCATTACATCTGTTGGCAAAGAAACTACATTGAAGTAATCAAGAATAGAATTTGGCCCTATGAAAGAAGGCATCCAATTTACTGTTGAAAGAATGGACATTGAATATTTTGCATACCTGTATATCTGCCTTTACAAGAAGAATATTCTGTCCAGCTTCTCAAATGTCCAGTCAGATCCCTATCTGTTCAATTTTACTTCTCCTCCCCATTAGCTTAGTTGAGAAATTATCAAAATAAACCAAAAATGATCATGCAAAAAGAAGACAACAGATACACTACAGAGAAAGGAGAGCTTCTCTTCTTTTAAGAACACAAGCAGGAACATGCTGGTTTATACTGATATTCCATCCAAGCCAGTATCTTCTGAAAGTGGCCAGTACCAGATGTTTCAGAAAGCATGAAAAGATGAGGAAATTATTGAGTGACCCATCCCTCGTTGCCTAGTCGCAGCTTCTGACATTCAGAGGCTTAGGGACATGAACCATGTTGTTGTGTTCCTGACCATTTTGGTTAATCGCCATTGATGGACCTATCCTCCTTGAACATATCCAACTCTTTTTTTAATTCAATAACATTTTTTACTTCACAACATCCTCAGGCAATGAGTTCCACAAGTTGGCTGTTCATTGTAAAAACTTTCTGTCTAGTAATTTCTTTGTGAGGCACCATGAGTTTTGCAAAGAGGCAAATAATACCCCCTTATTCACCACATAATTCCTGGTTTTATTATAGAATTATTGCAAAATCATAGGCCTGGAGGGACACCAAGAAGTCAACCAGTCCAGTACCTTGTTTTATAGCCCTCTATCATAGCCCACCTCATCTCTTTTCTAAGATGAGCACTTCCAGTCTTTTTAATCCCTTATCATACGGAAGCTCTTCCATATCAGTTTTGTTGGCCTTCTCTGAATCATCTCCAATTCTGACATGGACACCAGAATGAGAAGTTACTCACCTTCGTGCAGTAACGATGGTTCCTCGAGATGGGTCCCCATGGGTTCTCCACTCATGGTGTTGGACTTGTCCTGGCATCACAGCTCAGAGGCTTTACATAGCTGTTTTCAGCCGGGTGTGCCTGTGCAGTGTTCAGCATGCGCTGTTCATGCCCTTTGATCTTCGTGCGCACCCGGCTTCCCTGTCAGTTCCTCTCACCGTTCAGTATCTGTAAGAACAAAATAACTCTGTAATGGGGAGGAAAGGTGGGACATGGAGCACCCATGGAGACCCATCTCGAGGAACCATTGTTACTGCACAAAGGTGAGTAACTTCTCATTCCTCTTCAAGTGGTCCCCGTGGGTGCTCCACTCATGGTGACTTTGTAGCAGTGCTCGCGTTGCGTTCCTGGAGTTCAGGTCTGTCAATGACCGAAAGCACTGCTGAGGACACTGAAGAGTCAGGCGTCCATCTACGCACTACTGCGTAGTGATTCATAAAGGTCAAGCTTGAGGACCATGTGGCTGCTCTGCAGATTTCCGGTAGAGAGACTCCTCTGCCAAACACTGTGGATGTTGCCACTGCCCTAGTGGAATGCACTCTATGCAGAGTCTGGAGGGGCTTGTTATGCATTGCATGGCACATGGTGATACATGAAACTATGATGCTGGACAGACGCTGGGAAGACAATGCATTGCCCTTGGAGCGGTCCGCTATGGATACTACTACACGGTCAGTCTTACGCCAGGTCTGTGTTCTATCTATATAGAATGCTAATGCTCGGCGTACATCGAGGGTATGGAATAGCGAGTCCTGAGTCGAAGCATGTGGTTTTGGATAAAAGACAGGCAAAATGACTGGTTCATTGATATGAAATTGCGCAGCGACCTTAGGGATAAAGGCTGGATGGGTACTTAACGTGACTGAGTCCTTGGTGAAAACTGTGAAAGGTGGCATTGCCATTAATGCTGCCAGTTCGCTCACCCTACGGGCAGATGTAATAGCCAATAAGAATACTACCTTTGTGTTGAGCATTGATAATGACGTGGTGGCTAGCGGCTCAAAGGGTGGGTACATTAATGCATCAAGTACCAAATCCAAGCTCCAAGTAGGGGGGATGGGTCTTCATGGGGGTGAATCCCCAACGGATTAGCAGTGCATCCTCAAGGGAGCCCTTGCCCATGCCTCCCCTGGAGCAGTAAAGGTGATACTTTCTGTTTTCGTAGGTTGCGAAGAGATCTATTTGCGGTGATCCCCAAGCTCGGAAGATGTTGTCCAAGACATCGGAGTGAATTTCCCACTTGTGATCCTGAGGGAAAATTCTGCTCAGAGCATCCGCCGTGACATTGCTCGTGCTTGTTAAGTAGGATGCTATCAGAGTGGTATGGTTTTTTATGCATGAGTTCCATAGATGGACTGCTTGTGAGCACAGTACTTGTGATCGTGCTCCTCGTCAATTGATATAATACATAGCTGCTATGTTGTCCGTAAGCACTCGGACAGTTGTATCAGCTATTTGTGAACGGAAAAGTTTGCAGGCAAGAAATACAGCTTTCAGCTCTAGGAGGTTGATATGGGAAAGTGCCTCTGCTACTGACCATCTGCCCTGCACGAACGCATCATCGATGTGCGCCCCCCAGCCCAAGAGGGAGGCGTCTGTGGTCAGCTAGGTCGATGGCTGCTGACATTTGAATAGAACCCCTGCTAGCAGATTTTTTGGGTGCAACCACCAACCCAGGGATCTCTGAACTAAAGGAGTCGGGGTTATCACTTTGTGCATGGAGTGCCTTGTTGAAATGTACACCGATGCCAACCAGTGTTGGAGACAATGAAAATGAAGTCTTGCCTGTCGGACCACAAAGGTGGTGGCAGCCATATGCCCCATAAGGCGGAGACAGGTAAGTACAGTGACCGTAGGTGCACGGATGACTACTGTGCCAGCTCGTGTAGAAGTTGGAAGCGCTCTCAAGGCAAGTATGCACGGGCCGTGGTGGAATTGAGACGTGCGCCTATGAAATGTATAGTCTGCATAGGGTCTAGAGATGACTTCTGCTCGTTGATTATGAGCCCGAACAATAGAAATGTCTGTCTGACTAGTGCCACCATGTGTTGGACCTCTTGTCTGGACCTGCCTTTTAAAAGGCAGTCTAAATATGGAAATATGATCACATCTCTGCACCGCAAGTGAGCTGCTACAACCTCCAGGGTTTTTGAAAACACTCTGGGAGCAGATGCAAGTCCAAACGGTAGCACTCGATATTGGAAATGATCGCTGGCAATAGTGAAACGGAGAAAATGCCTGTGAGCTGGATGTATGGCTATATGAAAATAGGCGTCTAGCAGGTCAAGAGCTGCAAACCAGTCATCCTTCTCTAGTGACGGTAGTATCTTGGCACGGGTCACCATCTTGATCCTTTGACGGCGGAGGTATTTGTTTAACTTCCTGAGGTCAAAGATCAGCCTGCATCCTCTAGTCTTCCTCTCTGTGAGAAAATACCATGAATAGAAGCCCATTCCTCTGAACTGAGGAGGTACGGGCACTATGGCTCCTATGGAGAGCAAACGCTGAGCTTCTTCTTTCAAGCGGCTCTCATGAAAGGGGTCCCTGGAAAGGGACGGGGTTGGTGGATTTGTGGGTGGTATCGTAGTGAAGGGGATGGTGAGTCCAGATACCACAAGTTGCAATACCCAGCGGTCTGATATAATTGCCGTCCATTGGTCTTGAAAAGGTCAAAGTCGATGGTGAAAGAGATGAGTGCGTTGTTGTTGTCCCGTCACAGTAAGGAGTTGTTGCATGCCCTTGTCCGAACCATCAAACTTGCTGTTTGGGATTTTGTTGGTTGTTCGAACGGAATGGTTGGATTCGTCTATGTTGAGGGTGCTGCCTTTGGTGTGATTGGACTTCTGGTATGGGTAATATCTCTTGTGCCGAAAAGGGGGTGTTTACATCCCCAAGGCGTGGAGTGTAGACTGGGAATCTTTTCCGGAGTGGAGGATATCATCCGTCTTTTCCGCAAACAACTTGTTTTTGTCAAAAGGGAGGTCCTCCACTTTTGCGTGAAGCTCCTTTGGAACTGCTGCAGAAGCTAGCCTAGATGAGCACCTCATTGCTACTGCAGTTGCAGTGGTGCAAGTTTGTCATGTCCGCCGCATCCAAGGAGATCTGCAGACTTGCTCTAGATGCCGTAAAACCCTCCTGCACTAGGGACTTTAAGAGGGGGCGCTTGTTCTCTGGGAGGTAGTGAAGAAGCTGAGATATTTTTTCATAATTATCAAAATTGTGGTTTGATAATAAGGCAGCATAATTAGAGCGAAAAGGTCCAACCTCTTATTGTCCTTGTCGGTAGTGGTGCCTCTATAGTGGGGGGCCTTTGTTGGGCAGCATCCACCACTAGTGAGTTAGGTTGAGGGTGGCTGAATAAGAAGTCAAGGCCCTTGGATGGCAAAAAGTATTTTCTATCTGCCTTTTTACTTGTTGCGGGTACGGATGCTGGAGCTTGTCAGATGTCTTCCGCTGCTTCCATAATGGCTTCATCAATAGGGATGGCCACTTCTGCACTCTGCCTGGGGTGCAAGTTTTTCAGCAGTCACTGTTGTTTCCTTTGTGACTCTTATCTGTATTTCTTGGGATTGAGCCACCTGCTTGAATAGGTCTTGGAACTGCTTACAATCATCTAGTGGGGACGTGTCCGGTGGGAAAACCGCACCATGTGAAGACAAGGGTGAACCAGTTTGATAATAAGGCAGCATAATTAGAGATACGCAGGAGAAGGGTCGCCGAAGAGTAAACTTTCCTGCCAAATGTGTCCAGCTTTTTGGTATCCAGTGTTATCTTATACTGTGGTATCTTGGCCCAT